CCAGTCGTGACTAAGAGTCCAAGGGCACAGAAGCAGCCACCAATTGAAGGCTGCTAAATAGCAGAACGTCATTAATCTGAAAGATTTTAATATTAAATGGTAATATTCAAACACTTCTGTGAAAAAAAATTATGCCCATCAAATAAGACATCTTTATTAATATAATTTTTTGTGTGTGTTCAAGGGGATCTGGGAATGGTTTAGATTCACAATTTTGTCTGCTGAACAATGTTTTTTTAATTAATTTTTAATTTATTAGTAGTTGTTGATACAAACGTTTTTTTTGACATTAGATTTGACAACTAACTATTATGACAATCATTCTGTCGCACTTCAAAACACGGAGATTTATGGCTTTAATAGGTAAACTCCAAAAATATAAATAAAAAAAGGAAACAGATATTTCTTGATTATAGGGCGATACGAAGTTCGCCGGTTCCTCTAGTATAAATATACTTCTAAAATACCTGACGATGAAGGATGGATGAAACGCCGGTGGGTTGTCTTGAGGTGAGAATGCTGGTAAGGATCCTTGAAGCAAAGCGAGCCTTGCGATGGCTAACATGATCAAGACTATTAGACCTTTACTCAATCTACTCCACAGACCTTCGTGACGCCAACGAAATTTTGATGGTGACCTGCAGTTGAATACATGTCAAAACAATAGAGGAATAAAGTAATTTATACTGATGAATTCTGTGACTCAAAGTACAACAGAAAATCTATTAAAAATATTCCAAAGTAGATGTATTTTCAAACTGTAAGTTTTTAAAGAAGTTGCGATTCTGTATTTTAGTGTATAAAAAGCTACTTACTAAAGTTTTTAAGCAATGTTTCTTCCGATCTGTTTATATTTTTTAAAATTTATATTGCAAACTAACTTTTAATTATTCACAAAGCTTTCTCAGAGCATGAGGAGAGGCGAGTGAAAATTAAGGAACATTTTAAAGCTATTATGCTGTGCTTTAATTGGACAAAATATAAACGAGGGCAAAGCAAGTACTGTACATACTTTTAAAATATTCAACGATATTCCTGGACCATCTACTAGCTTCTGATATGCATAATAAAATTATGTGTTCAACTTTCAACATTAACATTAAAAAAATAAAACCTGTAATGATATATATCGCTGTTAACGACAAGTCTTAGATTGATTTGATATTTCTCTTTAACTTTATATAAATTATATCATATTATTAATTTAATAAAGCTCGTTTTTATATGATACATGAATAATTAATAAGTCATAGAATACCTCGTGACTGAGCTCCAACTTCGATAAATATCAAAAACTAAATTAAAAAGCAGTGCAGTCAGTCCTGTCTCCTTAGCCAGCATACTGAGACCAGCTAACACAACACTTGACCACACGCGCCTGCGACTAGAAGATCTGGAAATTTATACAAATTTAAATAAACCACATTGGAAATTTCCATTCCTTTACAAAAGTATTATAGAATAATGAGATCTCAGATTTTCGCGAGTACTTATTTAAGTGAAACTAATGTTTTCGGATTTTACTTCGCGTTTTTTATTTTTAAATTACAAACTACATATTGCAGATGTGAGTGTCTGTCAGTTGGTCTTGTTATTTTATCATCTACCGCCATCGATTTCTTAATTTTCTAGTGTACCGCTCTGGATGCCGGCAGAATGCGCTCACGGTGTCTCGAGGTCCCGCGGTGTGGTCAGGGACATTTGATTTTATATTTTTAATAAGAGGATCCCAGGTATTTGATAGGTTCCAGCCATCTTCTCTATTGAAATTGGGGTGTTTTTTAATTTTAATAGCCTCTCGGATTTATCAAATCTAATAAAAAAATAATTTCGTTCTTAATGCGAATAAATCAAAATATATGATACTGGGTAGCAAACATCAACGTGAATGTATTAAGGGACATAACCTACAGATTAAAATAGGCAATGAATCTTTAGAACAAGTAAAAGTTGCAAAAAATCTTGGTCTATACGTTGACGAAAATCTCAGATTTATAGAACATCTAAATCTGAAAACAAAAAATGATTTTTATAAATTAAAAGTTCTATATAGCTTGAGACCTTTCATGTCTGAGAAAGTGAGAGTTACCTTGATTGAGTCACTTATTTTATCGATTTTTAATTACTGTGACACAGTATATGATCCCAGATTATTGAAAAAGACAGAAAAAGCTATACAAAGAGTTCAAAATGCTTGCAATAGGTTTTGTTTTGACGTACCTAAGAGGTCATATATATCTCCTTTTATTAGTTGTCACAATATTTTAAACATGAAATCCCGTAGGAACCTTCATTTACCAGTATTTTTACATAAAATTGTGCGCAGCAAAAAGCCGAATTACTTATATCAAAAGCTTGACTGGCTTGAGAATAGAACAGATAGGAGTGTCCGAGTAACTGAGAAGCTTAAACTATTAATTCCTAAACATAAAACAGCAGGATTTAAAGGTGCTTTCAAATATGCTGCAGCAAAAATTTGGAATAACCTACCATCTCCCCTACGTGATTGTCATTTTTCAATTGTAACTTTAAAAAAACACCTTTAAGAATATTACCTACGTCTACAGCTACGTAAGAAAAACAACTTTATAAATGAATGCGAATGAACCAAAATAGGAAAGAATAGAATCCTAAAAACTTAAACGACTCTTTATTTTTATTTAATCATAGTTTCAATTGTCCTAATCCTGATGTACACATAAGAGTTATGGTTGTTATAATGCGAAGATGTGGGTCCGTGTATTAAGTTTTTGTCGTTCTTTTAATGTTTAGTTTTAATTTAAATTGTTTATTTACTTCTTTTTGAGTTCTATAATAATTTCACCGGTCTCTTTTTTACTTGCTTTTAAATCAGTTTTTATTTTGCATCACTTTAATATTTTACGGAACGGTGCGGCGCATTTAACTAAGGCAACATAATGTAGAAGGAGCAAGCTGAAAATCAGCTGGGCATAGCATAGCATATAGCTGAGCTTGTAACCAATTGCGATATGGTGGTCAATGAAAACGAGTGGTAAATTAAGAAAAAAATGTTTGCCAGTATGAATAATTTGTATCTCCTAAAAATATGTATGTTTTTCTTAAAAGTTACTTTTTAATGTACGACCTATCTGAAGCAATAAAGTTTTTATTATTATTATTGTTATTAATGTAATGGCCTGGTTTATCCAATGCATGTTCACACACAGATGACTTCGAAGCGCGCCTATTCCTGACGTCTGAAATGTTAAAACCATCGGTGATTCAGTAAACAATGTAAATAATACGAGTTATATAAGAATAAATGCCACATAAGTAAATGCGATTCACAGCTTTTAGTGTTTCATAATTTAATATGAGATAAATACTGAAGAGTTACAGAACTATAGATTTATTTAGTAAATAAAATTAAAATGCTTTTGGACTATAAAAAACATTTACATGTATGTAACAATAAACCATAAAAATGTCTCCAATCAAATATAATGCACATTTCCTAGTTGTTATTGGAACTACACATTTTTAAAGAGAAAGGTAAAATGGATATGGAGGCAAAAGTTTGGGCCATAGTATGATTTGTATTAGTAAAAAAAGAGTTAGTGTTGATGAAGTGTAATAAATAAAAGTCATTGTATCTACTATAGCTTGATTTAGTTAAAGTCATTGAGAACTTTAGACGACTATTCAAGATAATGTCTTACATTTTGGTTTCAATTAACTATTACCTAACATATTAAAGTTGACTCGAATGAAAAAGATTCTTTATACTCTTCATGACGATAGAAAAGTTGTATTAAAAGTTTTTTTTTACACTTGCTTGTAGCCTCATAATTTAGACACTGAATTACATAAAATACCTGGATTTGTCAACCAATATTTTTGTCTAACAACCGCATCTATATAAGACCAACAGTTTATAAAATAGAAGTATATTTGTAAATGGTTCAAATAATATCAACTGAATACTTTTTTATAATTTTGTCCTTATAATATCAGAATAACATGTAGTTTATTAAAACACCTGTAGTTTCCGTAGTTACCTACGTCTTGTAAATAGTTTCGTGGTATAGATCATAGATGTCACTGCCAGTTGTTTAACTGTGTTTTTGTTTATTCTTCTTGACTTTTGATATAGAAAAAGCAAAGTCAAAAATTATCGTAATTTAGTTAAAATTTTAAGATAAAACTCCAAATTGAAATATAAATCAATAAAAAGATTTTCCTTAGCACGTACATTTACACTCACTTCTTTCTTTTAAAATGTCTATAATAGGCTCTTAATTTTAGGTAATAGTGTGTCAATCAACTGATTTATAAACATTTTTATACCCAATACTTACATGTAGATGATTAATTATTTAGGTCATCTCCATAAGGACATTCCTACTTACTTTTATAAATAACGAAAAATGTCAACGGACAACCACAATATTCAATATTCTAAGTGGAGCTTCCATTTTTACAACTACTTTTTATATCTAAGAGAGGTTTCTGTAAAGAAAAAAGGTACATATATATTTTATTAACAGATTTTATTTCACGTAAAAGTAACAAATACTTAAATGTTTTCAGCGAAAGGTATGTTTTGTTATGTGTAACATTATGCTGACATAATTGTATTCTTATGTTCTAAACACAAGATTGATTAAAAGCATAACATAAATGCCAGGTATATATGGAGAGTATTTTTGTAGACGGTAATGAGATACATTTAACATTAATCATACAAGATATTGTTTGACTTAATATTACATATTTACAGTACTTATATTTAGCGTACAATTAGTTAATCAAATTGTTTGTGTTCAAGTTAGTTAGTAGAACTATAATTGCAGACGTTTTAAACCCGCACATTAAGTTCCGTACATTATCACCATGAATTAATACATCGATTACTTACTTATATTATTCTAAATATTTATTTTATATACATATATTTTACAATTCCAGTGTGGCACGCAGTTTTATAACTATAAACATTGTTGATAAATAAACATGAATAAAATGATTTTGGTAATAATTTAAGATGTTTTTATCAAATCGCTAACAAGCGGCAGAGGATCTGGTTCTTTTATTTTGTTTTTCTTATGTAAAGGGCTACTCTTCTGTTTGGGTCCCGCCTCGGATTTATTATGGATAGGTTTGTATTGAGCAGATATTGATACGCTTTTTTTATTATCTAATTTTTGGCAACTTGTGTTTATATTTAAATCACTGGATACAGTTATTGTTCTCGTGTGTTTCACTACACTGTTTTGTTTTAACTTCTCCGGCGACACTTCTAGTTTACTGTGATGCAAACAAGTGGACGTCATCTGAAATTAGAAATGAATCAAATTAAGTATTAATATAACAATACTCGTATTCCAAACAAAAATATTAATATTGATAAAAAAATCTATATTTTTGCAAAAATATACAGCAATAATATTAATCAAATGAAATTCAAATGATTCATTAAATGAAGTTTATAATTTATTTGCTATGATTTTTATTAATTTCGCTAAGAAAGTCGATGTCACAGGGACGTATTTAGGCTATTTTTTAACCGATTTCAAAAACTGTGAAGTTCTAATTCTTATGTTTCTTAATTAAAAACTTTTTTAATTATCCATCGAGATTAATAAAAACCGTTTTAAGAAAAATTACATTGTAGTTTTGACGACATCATATCAGGATACAACAAAAAGATCATCGAAGAATAAAATTAAATATTTATAAGGACGATATCGCCTCTCTCAGAGAGGGTCTAATTTGCCAAATTCACAGGCTACAACTAGAAATATGTTCATATATTAACAATGTATCGTAGTAAAGTAAAGTAGCTATCTGCTGCCTGTCTACCTTTTAAGTTCTCTGTCTACACTTCTTCTTTCCTGGGTACACTGGGAGTAATCTCTTCTAGGGATAAGTATACCTTTTAAACTTATTTTGCCTGCGTCATATTTTTGTTCTAAATATTTCAAAAAATTGTTAAACAAAATAAAGTATAATATGTATAATATTACTACAGGAGTCCTCGCGTATCTCGCCGCTCGTCCTTCCAGTTCACTGCGGAGTCTCCAGGCCGCGGCTGCTGCTCGACGTCGAGACGCTGACACCTCACCACCCACGAGGGTGTGCCAGCTGGAAGATATTACAGTTTGATATACGAAGTAGTATAAACTTTCATAGAAAACATAATAAACTAACGTATATGTATCGTAACTTGACTTGAATTGTTAGAAGTCTTGTATCATATTCTTATAATTTAATAGTCTATAAAAGGACAAGTGTTATCGAGCTTATTTTTAAATATGTATTATTTTATAGCCAAAACCTAAGAGATAATAAAGAAGGTTTTATGATAAAAAACTAAAACATTTTAATTATATGTTGTGATGTGGTTATAATATTCCCGGGAAGATACATTTATATTTCAGTATCACGATTACTGGAATAAATCAAAAAATTAACTATACAGATTCCTATAGTAAAAATTATGCAGACTTTTGAATAGAATCTAAATTAACAATACCCCAAGATGACATACACGATCAGGAAGAAGTTCTTGGTAAGAAAATGTTCATTAATATCCTCTGTTATTAATATTACCTCGTCGTTAGCTGCAGAAGTCTCACTCGTTGACCAGCCGACCTTAATAGGAGACAGGCTGCCCTTAGCGGTGGTAGCGCGCCACGAGACAGTAATGACACACGGATGGACCGTTTATAATACGAGAGAGACAATGGCCAGAGACCTGAAAGAATATTTAGTATAATATAAACACGATATTAAAAGAGATTCACGACTTGTATACAAGTTAATTTAAAAGAAAAGTTCTTTTAAATCGATGTTTCATGTTGGAAAGAAACAAAAGTATAATTTAACGAGCTATATCTGTATTGATCAAGAATATATTAATAAAGTTATTTGCTATAACAGATCAGAGTTATGAAAACGATTAATCTTGTTAGTTGTTAAAATTATTGAACATATTGTAAACCTATAATAATTATATATTATTGATATTGAAAATTGCAGTTTTGAATAACAAAAAGTTAAGACTGATGATGTTATAAAAATGCAAGAGTGTATTTTCTAGTAATTATAAAATATTATAATTTAAGTTTCATGAGTATAAAAGTAATATTTTTTGTGTAAATAAAGAAATATTATGAGAGCAATTTTCTATGATAACAATTTTCTTCTCTATTAGTAAACTCTTTCATGACAGCATTTATTTTGTAGTCCAAGAGCCAGGGCCAGCCAGGCATTCGTTAATTTACAAAAGCTGAAAGTTTTTCTATAGATGTACCCAATACAGGTAGTCACAATCCCCACCTATGAAATTTGGGTCGCGGTGGCTTTGGCAGGTAACACGTTCTAAAGGTGTATAAAATTTTCTTTCACTTTCCTCTTAGTACAAAATTCAGTTTTGATATATTTTCATCGTAATAATATTAGAAATCACGCTGTAAATTGCCAGGCCCTTAGTAAGGTGGGAAACCCAGCCAGGCACCCCTAAATTATAAGTAATTTTATTTGTACTTTCGCTATAGTACATATATAAGCTGATTTTTATGTATGTTACTGAGGAAAGTATTAAATTATATTTACTCAGTCGCCAGGCAGTTTCGATGGTGCTTTTACCTGGCCAGGTACACTGAAAGTCTTCCGTAAGTGCGAGAGGAAGGAACATATCCTCGATGAAGTTACGAATAGATATGTTCATGTTTACATTTTATAGGTATTTAGTTACTTAGAAGACAAATTTAGTTACTTAGGACAAATTTTTCTCGTTAAATGCTTTTTCAAATGTAAACGTACAGACGGTAGGCTCTTCGGTTTCTGAACAATACTTTTTTTATGTGTTATATAGATCAGTCATTGAGTGAAAAGATGGTTCTAAAGTTTCGATGGTGCTTTTACCTGGCCAGGCACACATACAAAAAGTATTGTTCAGAAACCGAAGAGCCTACCGTCTGTACGTTTACATTTGAAAAAGCATTTAACGAGAAAAATTTGTCCTAAGTAACTAAATTTGTCTTCTAAGTAACTAAATACCTATAAAATGTAAACATGAACATATCTATTCGTAACTTCATCGAGGATATGTTCCTTCCTCTCGCACTTACGGAAGACTTTCAGTGTACCTGGCCAGGTAAAAGCACCATCGAAACTGCCTGGCGACTGAGTAAATATAATTTAATACTTTCCTCAGTAACATACATAAAAATCAGCTTATATATGTACTATAGCGAAAGTACAAATAAAATTACTTATAATTTAGGGGTGCCTGGCTGGGTTTCCCACCTTACTAAGGGCCTGGCAATTTACAGCGTGATTTCTAATATTATTACGATGAAAATATATCAAAACTGAATTTTGTACTAAGAGGAAAGTGAAAGAAAATTTTATACACCTTTAGAACGTGTTACCTGCCAAAGCCACCGCGACCCAAATTTCATAGGTGGGGATTGTGACTACCTGTATTGGGTACATCTATAGAAAAACTTTCAGCTTTTGTAAATCAACGAATGCCTGGCTGGCCCTGGCTCTTGCTCTATTGATGATTAATCGTCAACCATATTAGAAAAAGGTATACTAACAAGATAACCACGCTTAATAATTTATTAGTGATGATGAGTTTAAATAACATATGGATCTTTTTGTAAACTGGAAAATATTGTGGTTAAATGTATATTTGGCGATAGAAAATCTTTTATATCACCTCTTCCTTTCAGCCAGTTTCCATACAAGTAATAATGTTCCCAATTCATCGGTTCCAATTCAATCAATCTCTCTAGAGTGGGTCTCTTCTCATTTTCGGGAGTGATGTGAAGAAGTTCAATGTACGCCTGAACGAACCTCGGCTCCAAAGATATACACCGTTCCAACATCTTTAGTGATTCAGACACGCGATTCTTTTTCCTGTAATTTATAACCATTTTATTTAACAAAAGTATTCAAATAACAAATCTATTGAATTAGTTGGTTAAAGTTTATTACGGAAAAAACGTTGCAAGTAATTTTTTAGTTAAAATCTTATTGAGTTTTCCCTATACCTAATTACTTATTCAATACCAGTAGTTTGTCTTAGCTTGTTTGTTTAGTTAATATAATCCTCCGGCACGATAGAAATTGAGTTATCCTCAAAGTAAATAAAGCTGTTATCAGTTATTCCTTGCATCTATTAATATTATAACTCAGTTCCTCTCTCGTGTATACAACCTGTTTATCTTTAGCGTTATATATGAATTTATTTAACATAAATTGATTTGGAGCAAACATACAGTGGGACCTTCAAGTTAACGGAAAAACAAGTAAATTTGATAAGATGTAAGACTTTCAAGAGTATTTATTTAAATTAAACTAGTATTTTTCGTTTTACTACTAGATGTCTCTGCTGCCCGTGAACATCTTTACTGAAAAGTAACCGAAACATAGTAGTATGTAGTTTTTTAAAATAATAAAATTAGTAATCCGAAATATTAGTTTCTTTTACATAACTAAATTTATAAATTTGTTATAATATATTAAATTATGATAACATTTCTGAACTGAAAACTGTTTCATTTAAATTTAACGAAATTCCTGTTATTATTGATAATTTTGATATAAAAACACATGAAAGTAATTTTCTTTTTATAAATAGCTTAGTTGAGGAAGACGTTTTTGTTGCAATTTCGATGCATTCAAACGATTTTGATAGTTTCATTTAATGATTGTGAGAGTGATCACCGATATAATTTGGCCAGGTTGTAATGAGCGTTCACGTGGTCCTTATTGTATTTAAGAGCTTGTAGAAAATGATGCTCAGCTCGACCTGACGCGAGGACTAACGTGCCTAGATTATTATGAGCACTCGCGTAACTTGGCCATAATCTGAAACAGAAAACAACAACATTTTCAGTACAAAATAAAACAAATAAGTAGGTTTATTACAACATACTTAAGCGCTTCTTTATAATGTTTTATCGCGTTCTCCTGTTGCTCGATGTCTTTCAGAAAGTTCGCAAAATTATAGTGCAATTTTGCATTGTGTGGCAAAACAGCTAGATCCGCCCTGCAATTCATAGATAAAACAGTTGATGTTAAAAATGAATTCGTAAAACAATGTAACAATAAAAGAAATACCGATTTTTTACGATACTACTTAGCTAATAAAAAGTTTCCTGTAATAAAATACCTGAGAATCTTTTCATATTTATTATACAATAGTATGTATTTAAGTAATAAGAATACTTATTTTATTTCAATATTATTTCTGTGTTATTACTTGCTACTGTTAGTAGGAGTCTAACTAAATATTAAAATACGTTTTGCTCTCAACCTTCATATTTAATATCGTAGACGTATGAATATAAAATAAAAATGTCTCAAAAAAGATATATTATCTTGCTACCGTCTGTGGTAGTTTATATACTAAATGAGATATTACAAAAATATGTAAGTAAATACATAAACACATATTGTCTACATACAGTAAAATAACCAGTAGGTCTATTAAAGGTTCCACCAGTAATGAAAAATGAAAATCAGTACCACAATACAAGAATTAAAATAGTTTGTCTAATAAGTCTTTTAGCGTCATTTTTGTAGACAGTTTAAAATTAAAGAAATTAAATTAGTGTTGTTTTTCATTTTTAAATAATTTTGTAATTAAAAATAATACACTATAATTATATGAAGATATAAATTATTCATATATTGACATCTCTGTAATTATGAATGCACTTTTAATTGGCAATAATGAACAAACGATGACCAAGAACTGTACATAACTCATTTGAAAAGGATGTGAGACAAAAGAGGCAAAAATACGCTTTTATCTTCTTCTTATACCTGGCAATTTCCCAGCTTTAGCCAGGGTCTGCCTGACATGTGGTGAATAGTTTTGGCTAATTGTTTTTACGACCGGCCGCCTGCCTTACATTAACCCTCTTTGGGAATCAGAATTAATCAGTGATGTCTAAATATTCTTAGAAAGTACATATGACTCAGAAAAAGTCACATTGGTACTTGCCAGGATCGAACCCGCGCCCTCATGCTTGAGAGGCGGGCGTTTCAACCACTGGGCCACCACTGACTTAAAATTAGCTTTTATCTTTTATCTTTTTTATCCTTACCTCAATAGTGTCTCCCTAGTCCTCCAGTCTTTATTCCTATCAAAGGTCCTCGCAGCGCCAGCGGCCACAAGTATTGCCAGACCTAATGCCAGCCACCTTCCACCTCGATGACACAATATTTGTACACCGTACACCGTCAGAAGAACTGATCCTACACTGGAAATAAAGAATCAACAGGTAAATAATAATTATATGTGTTTAGTTTATAATCATCCCAGTAAACAACTATTGGTACCAAAAACAACGTCTTCAATTTAAATGATGAGTAAGTTGATTTAAAAGGTCCAAATATATTGATGGTTGTTCAAACTTCAGATTCGATAGTTAAAAATGTATATTTTTTATATTAGGTATTACTATCAATAAGTAGAAGTAATGTGTTTTATAAGTGTAAATTTAATTTTCTTACCTAGGTATATATAGAACGCGTTCAGCTACAACAAATCCTACAGTGACCAGTAGGTTGGATGCAGGTAGATATGGGATTACAAGGAGCATCAATCCCACTACGAGAGGAGTGTGTCTCTGAAGCTTTAGAAGTAAAACAGATGTTTTAATTACGTTTTATATAATTTTAATTCTTTTATTACAGTTGAAAAAATATTGTTATGAATAAAACACCTTTGCGATATAAAAGTACGTAAATGAAACATGAAAGTAAGCATCAAATGGTAAATAATAAAAAATATGCTAGTAGCATACAGGATACTTTATGGATTCATGTGAAAACTAGTGCTTTCTTACATAATTATAAATATAACTTTAACCAAATGAACAGAACAAACCTCTAAGTCCATCAAACATCTATATGATAGTGCCATTAGGGCTACTAAGGCAGCACCAGTAATAAGATTCCTAGGATCCCACCCACTGGTAATGAGTGGTATCGACCCCATCTGCCAGTCGTGACTAAGAGTCCAAGGACACAGAAGCAGCCACCAATTGAAGGCTGCTAAATAGCAGAACGTCATTAATCTAAAAAAAATTAATATTAATTGACATTGTTCTACCACCTATGTAAACAAAAATCTTGCCCATCAAATAAGACATAAATATACTTCTAAAATACCTGACGATGAAGGATGGATGAAACGCCGGTGGGTTGTCTTGAGGCGAGAATGCTGGTAAGGATCCTTGAAGCAAGGCAAGCCTTGCGATGGCTAACATGATCAAGACTATGAGACCTTTGCTCAATCTGCTCCACAGACCTTCGTGACGCCAACGAAATTTTGATGGTGACCTGTAGTTGAATACATGTCAAAACAATAGAAGAATAAAGTAATTTATGTTGATATATTCTGTGACTCAAAGAACAACAGAAAATCTATTAAAACTATTCCAAACTAGATGTATTTTCAAACTGTTCGTTTTTAAAGAAGTTGCGATTCTGTATTTTAGTGTATAAAAAGCTACTTACTAAAGTTTTTAAGCAATGTTGCTTCCGATCTGTTTATATTTTTTAACATTTATATTGCAAACTAACTTTTAATTATTCACAAAGCTTTCTCAAAGCATGAGGAGAGGCAAGTGAAAATTAAGGAACATTTTAAAGCTATTACGCTGTGCTTTAATTGGACAAAATATAAACGAGGGCAAAGCAAGTATACTGTACATACTTTTAAAATATTCAACGATATTCCTGGAAAATTTTGTAGCTTCCGATATGTATATTAAAATCATGTGTTCAACTTCCTATTACATTAAAATTAAGAAAATAAACCGTGTAATCATATATGTCACTGTGAACGACAAATATTAAAATGAATTCATATTTTTCTTTAACTTTATATATGTATATTATATTATATGAGGAATTTAATAAAGCTGGTTTTTATATGATAAATTAAAGATTAACAAGTCATATATACCTCGTGACTGAGCTCCAACTTCGATAAATATCAAAAACTAAATTAAAAAGCAGCGCAGTCAGTCCTGTCTCCTTAGCCAGCATACTGAGACCAGCTAACACAACACTTGACCACACGCGCCTGCGACTAGAAGATCTGGAAATTAATTCATATTTAAATGAAACTAATATTTTCGGAATTTACTTCGCGTTCTTAATTTTTAATTACAAACTACATACTCCCGACGTTTCGGCTACTTTTCATCAACCGTGATTACAGGCAGACGACATGTGAGTGTCTGTCAGTTGGTCTTGTTATTTTATCATCTACCGCCATCGATTTCTTAATTTTCTAGCGTACCGCTCTGGATGCCGGCAGAATGCGCTCACGGTGTCTCGAGGTCCTACGGTGTGGTCACGGACATGGGATTTTATATTTTTAAGAAGTGGAGCCCAGATGTTTGATAGGTTCCAGCCATCTTCTCTATTGAAATTGGGGTGTTTTTTAATTTCAATAGCTTCGCGGATTAACCTTGGAATAAATCTGTCTTTACGAGCAAGGATATATGGTTTATCAAATCTAATGTAATGGCCTGGTTTGTCCAATGCAAGTTCACACACAGCTGACTTCGACGCGCGCCTATTCCTGACGTCTGAAATGTCCGTAGGACCTCGAGACACCGTGAGCGCATTCTGTTGGCATCCAGAGCGGTACGCTAGAAAATTAAGAAAAAGGTGGCGGTAGATGATAAAATAACAAGACCATCTGACAGACACTCACATCTCGTCTGCCCTTGACCACGGTTGCTGAAAAGTAGCCGAAACGTCGGGAGTATGTAGTTTGTAATTAAAAATAAAAAACGCGAAGTAAAATCCGAAAATATTAGTTCCATTTATTATAGAATAGTTAAAGAATTTTAATATGCTAAAAGAAAATATACAGGGAAGATTTAATTAACTTAAAGAAACAGAAATATACTCCATTCCCTAATACACATTGGCCATATATTGAGGGGCTTTCTGACACACGACTTCCTAATACAATAAAACAATCCCAAACCTTTTGGGCGCTGAAATACGTTCATCCAAAGTTTCTGGGGGCCGCTCCTAACATTCTTTTCAGAGTTTCTTATAAAAGAGGCCAAGTCGGTAACAACATTATCGAAGTGGCAAGTAAGCTGTTCGCACGGCATTAAAGTGCTATTTGTAGGGTTTCTTTGAGGATGTCAAGGGAATTCTTGTCCTAGATAACGCGTATTATCTTGGCATCATACCAGCGGAAATTATAAATAATGATATTTTTGCATATTAATGGAGTTGGGTAACCTACTTCACTGTGGTTTTGAGGCCAAATAGAACTTTAATTAGTTTCTTACTTAATATATTCGTCAGCTTTATATAGAAGCTTTGCTTAATTCGCTAAATGAAACATTTTTACAATTTCATTTTAAAGTTAGTTTGTTCACGTCAGTATTTTTCTCTTTCCTCATTTGGAAAGAGTTTAGATACAGTCGCTAATTATTTACAGTAACTAAGACTATATTATATTTTAATTAAATTTAGCTTAAATTAAAACAAAGCTGTTAAATAGTTTATTATTTCAAAATCTTACCCATGATACAGAAGAACAGATGACAAGAAGAATACACAAGCTAGAACGTCTGCTCGTCCCACCACACCAGCTACCTGCAATACACCATTACATATTATTTATCTTCTCATATGTAAAGATGAGTCAGTCGTGGTTTCCTAGAGGCTAAATGCCCGTATCTTGTGCATGAAGACGCGGGTTCGAAACCAGGCAAATGTTAAAGTGATTTTTCCGAGTCATATATATGTACTTTCTAAGAGTATTTAGACACCACTGACTGACGATGAAAGAAAAACACCGTGAGGAAACGTGGAATTATAATTTCAAATTATAAGTTTGATATTACAAACGTGATATTTCAAAAAGTTATGATTGCAAACAAATTTGATAGTTATATTTATAAAAATATCATTCGTAGAAACTATAAATTATGCTAAAGCATATTTATCCGGTAACTTTAATGGCGTAACATTTAATGTAAGCCGGCAGCGCCTACAGCGCAATTAAGGAGGCCTTAACTGCATCGGGCTTTCGTTTATTTTCTCTAAATAGGTCGGTTTATCTCCGAGGCCATTAGGAATATAAGATCTATAAATGCCTCGCAGATAAAAACGAAACAGAAATTGTTTTTATATACATTCGTATTAATTTAACAAAATAATTAAATAAATGCAATTTGAACTAATATTCGATAAATTATTAGTTAAAAATAAAGGTACCAGATTTTTTATTTATTTTTTTCATAATATCATTGAGTTTGTATAAGTAATATTTAATAATATTCTAGTGTCAAATGCGTGACCACACACTATGTACACTATTTTGGTCATTGCAAAACAAGGATAATCTCACTGCGTAAACAACAGTATAATTACAGTCCAGATAAACTAGATTTACCCAAAAATTAACTAAATAACTTGAGCGTGAACGTTGTTTAGACACAATGAAGTTTATATAATGTTAGACGCTTTAATTAGCACATAAATTGTTACATATTGTTCAGTTAGATTATAATCTAAATAATTATACTGCAATAGACATTTAAGGACGATTTTAGGACAAATTTTATTGAATATATTAGAATTCGTATTCATTAATTTGATATTTAATTCTGTATAACTGTGAAACTGTTCAAAGTACAGTCGGCGACATCGATTAGTACAATCAGGCGACGGAATTAATAGCGAGGAAACCGCTCGTTACCCGGCCTTTTGTAGCCTATCGATTATTTTGTTTTAATCACGGAGGCTTATTAAAGTTGTCCATGATTACACTGTCTGCCGCTCTGCTGCTATTAATTTAGACAAATTATTGCTTTTTGGAAGCGACTCTATATTCAGGGCCCATAGAATATAAGAAAGATTTAAGAATTCACTTATTACGTCGTAAAGAATCTCGCTATAAAACAGTAATGGCGAATAATGGGATATTTCATAAAGTCAATGTCAAAGGTCGAGACCCTATTTATCTTAGATAAAAGTGATTCGGTATTTAAGAAGTATAGTTTAGTATATTTTATGTTTGATGTATCAAGAAATGACAAAATCTCATGCTTATTTTTTATTTAAGTATACAATGTGCCGCAAATAAGTAAAAGTTAGTCATTCCCCCAATAAAGACAGTTTCATTATATGACATTCTTAAAATACCCAGATTTTTAATATTATTATACATATTACCACTTAATTAGCAATGAACTAATGTCAAGTTTCAAGAGGTCAAGTGGGCGTTTTAGTCCAATCTCTAAAGCCTCATGGAAAATCCTAAAATTTTTAAAAGAAGACCCTAATTAGACGATTCTTAGAAACGAAACTGAAACAATAGTGATACCATTTAGTAATGTTTCATATTTTTAGTATTAAAAGAAAAAATGTAAAAATGTGTTAATTTGTTTTTGGTACCACAACACGCAAAACCTAAATACCGTAGTGGCTGTTTTGAATGGAAAGTTATTTCCGAAAATAAAAAATCCTGTTGAAAATCCAAGAGGAGTTTAAAAAATAATAAAATGAAACTCTAGGGAAAGATTGCAAAATTCTGAATACAGAAAATAGTGAATAAAAATACGTTCATGCAAGGGATGAAAACCTATCAAATTATGTAAAAAAAACTTGGTTTTATAGAATTTTAAAGAGAATTAATTTTTGATATTCCGTCAACATGTTAAGCATTAATTCCAAAACGTCATGAAATAAGTCAATAAAAACTATTTAGATTACACATTCGTGTATAAAGTGTGTCGAATGAAGGATACGAGAATTGTATGTATTACGTTGAACGAGTATTTATTAGGAGAGCTCAGATCTAAAGTTATTATAAGTTTAACTGACACAAGACAAAGCTGTTACATAATATAGAAATAGTGAAAAATGAGTGCTAAAGTTCCAACATAAATTGCATAGCAATGCCAACTTTTCAAATTAAACCACTAGCAAGACAAGACCGGCAATCAGATGGTTAATAGGAAAACTTTAAGATTATTGCCTTCCAATGTTTCACACTAATGTATGACATTCATTGTATTTATTTCTACTGATTAAGTTTATTTCCAGAGAAACATTCTTACTTGTATTTACCATTTACATTAAGGAATACACGAAGTCCCTTTTAATAGTATATCAAATCTTTTGATGATATATTTGCTCGTTAATTCTACATCATCAAAAAATTCGTCCAGAACATTCGAAAGGTCAACAACTCAATAATAGGTGGATGACTAAATCCGTAGCTATGTATATTTATTTTAGTATGAGGCTTATAAAATATGAAACAGGTAGCTATTATTACAGCTCATATGTAAACCCGTCTCCAACGAGTCAGGTAAAAGCAAAGTCGTGTCACGTTCCGACCCTGGCTTTATCTAATGTATCTTGGGTTTTATTTGTCGATATAATTCCGAAGTTTTCCTGGATATTTTTTAATAAAGGGCAAGTTTTTCTTATAAATAATAATAATAATAATGGAAAATGAAGGACAGCGACTTATATGACGACGTTACTCATTATTTATTAAACATTAACTGACGACTTGTAACAATCCTTGTACGGTATTTTCATACTAACATATAGAATTTTTTAATATATTCGACGTGTTGTTTTGAAACAATTTAACGAATTCAATACAATAAAAGCGAATGATATTATAAACACAATTTGAGCAAAACTTAACCCAAATAGGAATCTGAAACATATTTGGCTTAAATCTTCAGAAGCTCCAAAGTGCTTTGTAGAAACTAGAAACAATAGATGGGAAGAAAGCCTTAATTAACGCAGTCGAGTTTGAGTCGCTAATCTTGTTTTGCGTTTCTCTGGATAAGTTTGTTTGATGAACTGTGCCAATAAAGAGATGAAACTAGAAGGTACGTTTGTGTTCATTCATCAGTAAACCAATTAATACAGACTCATGTATGAATGTAAATGATTTATTTATATTTATTATATTAATAAATGAGAGTATATAAAAGCCTGTATTACCCCGGATTTAAGAACACCCGGTTAGTGTGAATTAAATTATCCTTTGCCGTTTTAGAAAACAATAGACGTCTAGAAGAGTGAAGGCTGAAGTGTCGAGGCTCAAGTATCATAAAGAAGTTTTATTATCATGATGTAGGTGGGTTAGAGGGTTTTATAAATGTTTGTGAGCTTATTACACCACGGGTATTAATTTTCACGAACTATTATAATGAAAGATTTAATTTTTTGAATGCGAGAAAAATATTAAAACTGGTTTGCAGAGTATTTTTAGATTCAATTAAATTTATTATACAATAACAAATCTTTTATGGGTACTTAAAAATAACGTGTACAGTAAGATAAAAGACGTAAAGAATTTATGAAATCTCAGATCTCAAAATCGATCGGTCCCGGCGCCGACTAATCTTCCCTTAATAATATATAAAGGAGGGTAGTAAAATAGTTTACGATTTGTATCGGCCTTATCCTGAGAGTAAAGCCTCCCGAGGCATAAAGTTTTGATGGCGCACATTATGAAATATCGAATGACCTAGAAGCAATCGAGATAATGGCTAGCGTTATGTGTCCTAATAAAATAATACATTATTATAGTGACAGAATGAAATATAGCATCGGAGTTTACGAGCGAAGATGAATTTCATTTGTATGTTATTCTTGAAACTGAGTAATATTATGTTAAAGTATTAGTGTGATAACGAAAAGAAACATCGAAAAGAATGTCAAGATACAAATAATTGACAAAACAATAGTAAATCCATGGGATTTAGTGAATCGACAGTTATTAATGAAGGATATATCCAGGAACGTCCCGGTCATTACACAGTATTAACAGCTGTAATCTGATACGACCACTTAATTGTCCACTAGGATTCTCATAAAATAAATTTCCTCTTTATTATCTACATATAAAGGTCACTCGACTGCCATTTAGTTTGTAATAAATTATTGTATTAGATTTCTTTAATGCTAAATTTAATATTCGTTTCCATTATTCAGATTGTTTCTAAAACAAAACAATTAATTCGTTCCACTGTTCTCTAAATGGTCAGTGAAAGAATGGCAGAACAATTCAACTGTCCTGTTCATGTCAGCCCGTGATGAATGTTCACGTTAAAAGTTCGCTACAAACACCATTAATGTTTTTTTCGTACCATCATCTGTCCATAATTAAGTAAGGATTAATGTTTTCAGGAATATAAAATTTTTGTTAAAGCGGTAAAGGTTTTAAACTTAACACTAGACTTTTTACTAAACAACTAACGAAGTTCTTGAAAAAATGTATTTAGATTATTTATTAGCCATCAAATGAAATTTTTATATTGTTCTCGTGATTATATAAATAGTATATAAAGGATTATGTAAATATAAATCTTTAATATAACTCATTTCTAAAGGCGAATTGAAAATGTTATACGAACGAAATAAACAAGCAGTGGGCCAAGGCAGCCAAGTTGTGTATTGGTATAAAATTTTTAATGCATTTCAGTGGAGAGGTGAAGTGCGCGATTGTTGGCGAAACAATAGCTCTAGCCTTAACTCAGTTCTTTCGTATTTCCCCAACTTAATATTGTGCTCGAAGTTTTCTCTTCTTTTTAAATGTATTTGTATTTTTTTTTGCTTAT